ACAAGCAAGGATAAAATAGTTTGTAGAAAAGGCCAAGGCTCAGAGTGGTTGGCTTAATGAAAACTGTTGACAGTGATGACAACGACATCAACCTAGGATCAAACGATATGAAAAGACAGAGCCACTGCTGGAGAAAGACTGAAATGTCAGCAAATGTCAGAAAGTAAGCCTGGCCAGCATGGCTCAGTGGTTGAGCATCAACCCAAGAACCAAGAGGTCACCATTTCTTGGTCAGGGCACAAGCCTAGGTTTTGGGCTCAATCCCCAGAAGGGGCCATGTAGGAGGCAGCCAATCGATGTTTTTCTCTCATCTCTCTCACTGATGTTTTTCTCTCTATCCCTGTCCCTTCCTCTCACTAAAACATATCAATTAAAAAAGAAAGAAAGACTGAGAATTCCAAGTCCTTTCTGGAGATCTCAAAGTGGAAAGGATAAGACAAACAGACGTAAGCCGACACCCGCTGCCTTCTCTCACCTTAATTAGTCACCGCATGGAACTGAGGAACATTACAGGTGATGTTGATTCAAACCCCATGCACTTGTACATCATCACGTGGCCTCATAATAAATCCAAAGTCAGTACTGGAGTCCAAAGAATCACATAGTTCATGAACTGACTTCACAGCTGGAATGAGAAAAAAGAACTGTGGGTTGTATTGTCCATAAACTTATTACAAGTTTCCGTTGATATGGCTGCCAAAGAACATCAAACGTACTCTTTAAAAAAGTATATATGTGTATGAAATAAATTACGTATATGTAGTTACACACAATTTCTACATTTAGAGAAGGTTATGAGTGTGTGTGTGTGTGTGTGTGTGTGTGTACACATATGAATGAAATCTGGGACAGCCCTACCTGGTTTGGCTCAGTGGATAGAGCATTGGCTTGCAGACTGAAGGGTCCCAGGTTTGATTTCAATCAAGGGCATGTACCTAGGTGGTAGGCTCAATTCCCGGTAGGGAGTGTGCAGGAAGTAGCCCATCAATGATTCTCTCTTATCATTGTTTCTATCTCTCCCTCCCTCCCCCTTCCTCTCTGAAATCAATAAAAAAAATTTTTTATTTTTTTTTAAATCTGGGATATACAGAAAACCCCAAAGAAGAAAGTAAAGTACTCGAGGCAGCCCTACCTTCCATGAGTGTCTTGGTAAATTCCCTCCCAGCTCTTTCTCACTGCTCAGGTGCAGTCTAAGATTCCTCTCCTGTGTAATCTAAGCCAATGCTACTCAAGGTCTGGTCTGCAGGCCGGCAGCATCACTGTGCCCCCGGAGCTTGCTGGAAGTACAACTTCTCTTCTCGGCCCAGGCCCAGACCTGCGGGACCAAGCCTCTTCAGGTGGGGACCGCCTGAGTTTGCACAGCCTCTGGGCGGTTCACACCCTCAGGAAAGTCTCAGGAGCATGAAGGCATACCAGTGCCCCTCAAAATGTGGTCTGCGAGCTGTTATGGGGCTGCAACAAGATACACAAGATAACACAAAAATTGAGAGGAAACACGTAGAAACATTTACGTTAAACTTAGAAACATGGATGTTAATTTGACACGCTGTGACACCCAGCCATGGGGTCCTTTTGTTTTATTTATTTATTTATTTATTTGTTTGTTTAAAATATATTTTATTGATATTTTACAGAGAGGAAGAGAGAGGGATAGAAAGTTAGAAACATCCATGAGAGAGAAACATCTATCAGCTGCCTCTTGCACACCCCCTACTGGGGATGTGCCTGCAACCAGGGTACATGCCCTTGATCGGTATCGAACCTGGGACCTTTCAGTCCACAGGCCGATGCTCTATTCACTGAGCCAAACCGGTTTCGGCATGGGATCCTTTTAGAAAATAGTATTATTGTATTTTACAAAGTCACTCCACAGTAGACTCCTTAAAAAAAAAAAAAAAAGGCGAAAGCGCCCTGGCCAGGGCTTAGTTGGGTGAGCATCGTCCCATGAACCAAAAGGTGGCCAGGTTGGATTCCTGACCTGGGAGCATACAGGGGGCGACCGATGGATGTTTCTCACTCACACATTAAAGTTTCTCTCTCTCCACCTTCCTCTCTGTAAAATCAATACAAAATAAGAATTTGCAGGCCAACTAATTAAAAAAAAAAAAAAAAAAAGGAGAAAGGGAAATGCATGAAAGCTGGTGCCTGTAAAGACTTTATTTTCTTTACTTAAAAATGATATAAAAATGCACAAGCAAAGAAAGACAGGTCCTGGGCCACAGGTGGTTTGAGAAACACTGGGCACAGTGCTTCTGAGTCTGTCTCTGCTGAGACAAACCGCTTGTTTTCGAGGGGAACCTGCCACAGCTGCGGCCCCCTGTGAGGCCGCCTCTAAACTGAGCGCCTGCGTGCTTTGCTGGAGTGAGAGGTTTTCAATCTGGTGCCGAGGGGTGAGCGGAGCCAGACTTTGGTCTTTGAAAACAGAGGGCCACTGTAGGTTGGTTTGTCCGTTTGTTTCACTGTAGGTTTGCTAAAGCAGGGACAGAGCGCAATCAGGTTTGTGTTTTGAAATGAGGGGCCAAGATGGTGCAGGAAGGTATGTTGGGAGGCGGTTCCGTTGTCTAATCAGGAGTTGACTGTAGCTCAGGGTGTGGTACTGGTGATGAGAAAGAGTTGAAAATCAAGATTTGTCTTTTGTCTTCACGTTTGTTAGAAGTGAAAGTTTGAATACATGTTTGGGGAGGTGAGGGAGGGATTGACCTCACTCCAAGGTTTAGCTTTGTTTTCTGTACATCTTAGTACTCATGGTCTCCAAGATAACCACGTTTCTGTGCTGTTTATTCAAATAAAGGGTAGGCAAATGGTTGCTTAGCACACGTTTGCTTTTGTCTCACAGTCAGCTCCCTCTCAGCTCCGTGCATTTTCCTGAAGGCAGGGAGACATGGTTCCATCTTATTTTACTACTGGAAACGTGGCTATCAGTCTCTTTTACATCTGAACCGTAGAACCTCAGAACAAAATTTTATTTTTATTTCCACAACAAAGGAAAAAGCTATCTGGCACTGGCTGGTGGTGTTCCAGTGGTTAGAGTGCCAGCCATGCACTGAAGGGTGTGGATTCAATTTCTGGTTTAGGACACATACCTGGGTTGCAGGTTTGATTCCCAACCAGTCAGAGCATGTATAGGAGGCAACTAATCGATGTGTCTCTCTCACATTGGTGTTTCTCTCTCTCCCTTCCCCTCTCACCTCCCTTCCTTCCACTCATTCTAAAAAAAAGAAATGAAAAAAAAATATCCTTGGGTGAGGATTAATTTTTTTAAAAATCATTACTTAATAAGCTTTACTAGCCCTGACTAGTTTGGCTCAGTGGATAGAGCATCGGCCTGCAGACAGAAGGGTCCCAGGTTCCATTCCGGTCAAGGGCATGTACCTTTGTTGTGGGCACATCCCCAGTGGGGGGTGTGCAGGAGGCAGCTGATGGATGTTTTCTCTCATCAATATTTCTAACTCTCTATCCCTCTCCCTTCTGCTCTGTAAAAAATCAATAAAAATATTTTTTTAAAGTCACAGATCTTTAAAATAAATAAATAAATAAATAATAAGCTTTACTAAAATATGATTTTTCAAAAAAAATGCACAGGTATAAAATTTATGGATTAAAAATTAATATTATTATGTGTGATATGTACCTGCGTATGTGACTGCTAATTTTTGGTAGTTAAATTCCATTTGTATCTACTGAGGAAACAACTCAGTGCCTAGCACGGTATATGTAGTGGTTCCCAGCTCTGGTCTTAACTGGCCAGTAATATTTCTTTTTATTTTCTTTTTTTTTTTTTTAAATAAATTTTTATTGATTTGAGAGAGGAAGGGGGAGAAAGAGTTAGAAACATCAGTGATGAGAGAGAATCATTGACTGGCTGCCTCCCACATGCCCCCCACTGGGGACTGAGCCGCAACCTGGGCATGTGCCCTTGGCCAGAATCGAACCGGGACCTTCAGTCCCCAGGCCGACGCTCTATCCACTGAGCCAAACCGGCCAGGGCAGTAATATTTCTTATAAAAGTAGAGAGTCTAACCTAGGGTCACCTCCTTTTTATTTTAGTAATTAAAAACCTAAAACCAAATTAGGAATTTTTATATTTACTGTCACTATACATTTTTTTAAAAATCTAAGGAACAGTACCAAAGGATGGGAAGTAGCCAAGAAAAGATTCTATATTTTCTCCATTAGTGTTTAGAAACCAATTTTACAAACAATGGTTAAAACGAGGTAGATTAAGTTTTTGAAAAATTCATCTATCTCCTTCATTTTTCTCTTTGTACCATGGATTGGTAAAAATGTCCGCAGGGCTGGTCTGCAGGCACTTTGGGAGCCATTCCAGGAGTGGCTGAGGAAGAGGGACTTGAGTGAACACAGTGTAGGGGAGAAAAATAACTTTTCCTCTACCCTTCTACATTCTTGGCTGACACCCCCAAACATCACCATAATAAAGTGTGTTACCCAGTGACCAAGATTTAATTTCATATGTGCCCATGGGATGAGACTCCAAAGGCACAAGATAAGACTCCAAAGGCAGCCGATCATTGAGGCTAATACACTCTCCTGAGCTAAGGGACCAGGGCCCTGGGGCTGCAGAGTGGGGAAGGCAAGTCATGGGAGGGTGAGAAGAGGAAATGTCTGGCAGACAATGGCTTCCCTGCCAGGTAGGACAATCTCTCTGCTGAAAAAGTTCTCCCTGCTAAATAGCTCTATTCCTGGTGCAGGCGGGCTTTCTAATGTCACTCTCCCTTACAAATGATGCTCTGTTTTCAGAGCTTCTCCTATGTCTGCAATTTCTCAGAAATAACCCATATGCCAAAGAGGCATATTTTTGGGGTGGCAAATTCTGCTGCCCTCTAACCTAGAAAATGTACGGCTAACCCTGAGGAGCCCTTGCTGGGGGGCCCAGGAAGTGAAAGGTGAGGTCACTGTGGGGTCAGGAGGAGAATCATACTTGTGTATTCGTTTCTTCATTCGTGACCTCTTACCAGTCTTTTTCTTTTAAACCTGTTTAGCCTACCAGCTTATCACCGTGGTGATTGCAGCAGCAGGAGGCGGGCTTCTGCTGATCCTGGGCATTGCACTGATTGTCACCTGCTGCCGGTGAGTGATGGCATTCACACTCTAATTCTGTTCCTTTGTATGTTTTTTTACTCTTCGGGAATGTTCGGGGTGGTTTGCAACATCAAATGGTAATATATGACTGAACCACTAAAAAAAGCAGAAAGGGAAATTCATGATAGGTATAGTGCCATTGGAGGAAAGAAAAGACAGCGAATAGGACTTTATGGGACAGAATTTTTTTCTACCCTTTTAGGTTCAGTGGTCTGTTAATCAAATTAACATAAGACAGTTTAATGGGATAAAAACATTTAATTATGTGTATAGGAGGTGGGTGGTGGTACATAAAAAGGTGAGACCCACAGGCAGTCAGACAGTTGAGGCTTATATTCCATCCTGAGCTAAGAGAAGGGGCAGGGCCTAGGACTTCCAAAGGCGAGGAAGGTGGTTTACAGGAAGATGGAGAAACCAACGTTCGCCATGCCATGCAGAGACAACGGGATGCAGAGACAGTGGGGCACAGAGGGGCCTTGGAGCAAACAGGCCCTGTGAGCTCCCCTTCAGCTTCCCACACCCAGCCCACACTCTTTGTAGTGATCTCCGGTGTGATAGCTCTCTCTCTGGGACAAGCCCTCCATCAAAATCCTTTTAGGCAGTTAAAGGGAGGTGTAAAAGCTCTTCCTGAGTCTTTTGGGCCTTGATTGTCTTCAGCTCAAATTTGTCTGCAGGCCAAAGTGGCATGTTCTGGGGAGACTTGTTCTGAAGCCCTTCAGCTTAAAAGATAATATAATAAAGATAATACTATCTTTATATATAAAGATATAAAAGATAATACTATCAAGAAAGTGAAAGGACAAACCACAGAATGGGAGAGAGTCCCTTATTACACAAACAAATCATATGTGTAATAAGGGACTTGCGTCTAGAATATATAAAGATGTCTTACAACTCAATAATAAAAAGACATTAAATCATAATGGACCATTTTAAAATGTCCAATTTTAAAATGGAAAAGGACCTGAAAAGACATTTCTTCAGAGAAGATATACAGTGTCCAGAAGGCACATGAAAGGATGTTCAGCATCGTTAGCCATCAGGGAAATGCAATCAAAACCATCTCATACCCACTTGATGGCTAATTTTACAAAAGAGCCCTGGCTGGGTAGCTCAGTTGGTTAGAGTATTATTTTGATACACCAAGGTTGCAAGTTCGATCCCTAATCAGGACACATACAAGAATGAGCCAGTGAATGCATAACTGAGTGGCACAGCTTTACCTCACGTGACTGGGTAATCAAAACTCAAGGGTTGGATAAAGGTACAAAAAGAACAATGCAAGGTCGTCTTCAGATAGCACTTCTCTTTAAAATCAACCAACCAGTAAAATATTTTTTAAAACCCAGGAAATTACAAGTGTTGGTATGAGGATATGGAAAAATTAGAACACAAATGCTCTGCTGTAGAAAAGTAAAACGATGTAGCCTCTTTGAAAGTGTCTGGCCATTCCTCAGAAAATTAGACACAGTGTTGCCATTTGACCTAGTACTTCTACCCTTACGTATATACCAAGAAAAATGAAAAGTTATGTCCACACAGAAACAATTGTACATGAATGTTCATAGTAGCATTATTCATAATAGCCAAGAGGTGAAAATAACCCCAGTATCCACCAACTGATGAATGGATAAGCAAAATTTGACATATCCATACAATTGAATAATATATATATTATATATAAAAGGTTAATATGCTAAGTGTCTGACTATCCAATCAATCGCTATAATGCCCACTGACCAGTAGGGGGCAGATGCTCAATGCAGAAGCTGCCATGGCGCTCACTGGCCATTTATAGAGAAACAGCACTGCAGACCTGGCACCCACAAAGCAACACTTGGCTTCCCCCAAGTGGGACACAGGCCCTGCCACCACCCCAGAGCAACATTCCACCAAATCACAGCCAACACAGCCAAGACCCCATGGCGCAAAATGCGGCCCACAGCCTAGCCCAGCCCAGAAATGGTGGCTGTGGGTGCTAGGTAATGACATCACGTAGTAATGCCTGGCTTCCTCTCCCTAGCCACTAGCCTCCTTGGAGTTTCTTCAGCCCAGGAACATAACTTGCTTTCTAGCCAGGTGCAAATATTTTACAGTTTAACCAAATGTCTGTGAAATGTTTTCACATGCCTCATCTCATTTGATCCTCATAGAAGTCCTGGAGTAGGTAGATAGGAGAATTAGTAGAATCTTATTTTCTTTTTCTTTTTTTCTTTTTAATATATTTTATTAATTTTTCTTACAGAGAGGAAGGGAGAGGGATAGAGAACTAGAAACGTCGATGAGAGAGAAACATCGACCAGCTGCCTCCTGCACACTCCCTACTGGGGATGTGCCCGCAACCAACGTACATGCCCCTGACCGGAAACGAACCTGGGACCCTTCAGTCCGCAGACCGATGCTCTACCGCTGAGCCAAACCGGTTTCGACCTATTTTCTTTTCATTAGCCAGAAAATGGAGACTTAGAAAGTTTAGAAACTGGACCTGACTGAAAAGAAGTAAGAAACGGTGGACCTTGAAAATGACTTTAGGTTTTCTCACTGTGTAGAACATAGTCAAGCACTGCTGCAGTTAAACATTTCACCCTTTGTTCTCCCTGTGTGACCTACAATAATCTGCTTCATGTTGATATTTACTGCTGTGTTGCTGACAGTTACCTGAAAGAAAAGTTGGAGTGCTTTGCTGGGCTGGAAAAAGTTTAGCTAAATCAAAAAGCAGGTCTAATATATATATATATATATATATATATATATATATATATATATATATATATATATATATATATGTGTGTGTGTATTTCTATCTGTCATTGTCAATCATGAATTTGGTTGACACTTCTATTAGAAAAAAGGGTGAATAGCAATATTAAAATATTTCTTCTAATTAATTTCCTTTCAATGTGTACGAATTCATGCACCAGGCCTCTAGTTCAACCATAAAAAGGAATGAAATACTGATAGATGCTGTAATGAGCATGAGCCTTGAAAAAATTATGCTAAGTGAAATAAGACAGCGTTCAAAGACCCATCTCTTGCATTTATATGAAATGTTCCAAATTGGCATATCTAATAGAGACAGAAAGTATATGAGTTATTGCCTAGGGCTGGGTGGGCAGAGGGTAGAATTGAGAAATGAAGGCTAAGGAGTATGAGGTTTCTCTTTGGGGTGATGAAACTGTTCTAAAATTGTGATGTTGATTATACAACGCTGAATATACTACCAACCACTGATTGTACACTCTGAATGGACAAGTTGAAAATCAGACAAAGATGAAAGGGGTTACCTGAGATACCTGAGCACAGAGAAGTTGTAGCAGGCCCGGGATGAGCAGATGCAGTCGTGTGCTAGGCGCTGGGCTTCCTGGGAGCCTCTACTGGGAAGGGAAGAGAAAGCACAGAGTTGGTTCCCCTTCTCTGTGATTATCTATTCAGATAAGGAAACATGACCTTTGATTTAGATGATAATAAATTCTCCTGACATAACTGGTGGAGGAAACCTACCAAAAGAGCAAGTTCTCTTTTTAACCACTGACATGCAGGACGTTTTAAGATCCCCTTTGTCTCAGTAAGGCTGAGGGGCCAGGTTGCCATAACAACCACCCATTCAGGATGCAGGCTTCATGGTACAACCTTTGCCGGTCACTTACAAAGTTGCCACCAAATGATCGAAGATAAAGTTTGTTAAAAAACCATTGAAGCCTGTAAAGATTTTTTTGTGAGTTTATTTGAGCCAAACTATCAACATATGCCGGGAAGCAGAATCTCAATGAATTGAGATAATGCTCTGGAGAATGGCAGGTTACTTCTGTATTTATACATTGCAATCAAAGGAAAGGGACATAGGTGGGTTACATGAAATCCATTGGTGATAGCCTAGAGAGGCTGGAGAAAGCAAAGCAGGGAAACCCCTGGGATTGGATAAAAAGTAAAATGATAGACACATACTTAGGTGGGTGCAGGGATAATTAACATAACAATGAGGGAACTTGTGGTGTCTGTCCTGAGCCCAGGCACATTAAGGTTGTGCCCCAAGGGGTCCAGAAATAGGGAAATTACAAGTCACCCAGACATTTCAAGGGTATGTTATCATAGATGCAAAAAGACAGATAGGCTCAGTTAAGGTAAAGGTTGACCATGTCAGTGAAGATACCGGCGTAGGATGTAACTGCCCACCATAACAGCTTTTAGTTCAAGTTTAATTTCAAAGATCATCCTTTGAGATTACTTTAGATCCCTGAGTTTGCAAAACTGCCATGCAGGCCTTCCCTGAGCCTGTCAAGTTAGCATGTGGCCCCTTTTGTCTACAAGGATGAGTGAAATAAAATTCTGGGCTGAGATTAGGAACTGGAGAGAGAAACCCTGGGCGCTCAAGGGGACATAAGCCTCCTGCGTGCTCAGTGCCCTGTGTGGGGAGTGTAACCATGTGGGAAGGCCCCGTGACTGCTTGTGACTGGAAAGGAAGGCCGGTTATGAATAAGTAAGCCGTTGTGTGAGACCAGGGGCCCCACCCTCCCAGGGCCGCACAGTGGCTGGCTTATTCTGAATTTGCAGGAGGAACCACACCGCACGTAAGCCACACACCGGACATTTGCTTTTATGGTCATAGGTTGCTTTGTGCTTTCCGAAGAATATTTACTTATAGGAAAAGGAGACAGGAGGAAGAAACGTCCAGGGTACATATGGGTAACAATGTTTGGTACACAGGTGATGAACATGTTCCAGCAATTCCCAGTGACCTCTCTAAAGCAGAGGTCTTGCCCCAGGGTTTCCCGACCCACTGACCTGAGATGTGTAGGTGTATAAATAGGTGGCTTTTGTTTTGCAAACAAGACATCCTGGTTTTATGGTTTGCGAAGTAGCTTCATGTGGTAGAAGAACACTAGCCAGGGCTTCGGACGGCCTTTGTTCCAGTCCCAGCTTTGTTGGAGCGAGGTGTGGCCCGGGTAGCAAGTCGCATCTCCCCGCCCAGCCAGAGGCACCCCATCCCAGAGCTCCTGGTTGTTTGTTTGTTTGTTTGTTTGTTTGTTTTGTGGGGTTTTTTTTGTGTGTGTGTGTGTGTGTTTTCAGATTTTGTGTCAACTTTATTTTGTATTATTTTTTTAATTTCTTTATTGATTAACCTGTTAACCGAGTGGGACTTATAAATACGTCAAACGTAAACAATATCTGGAACAAGGAGGACATATGAATACGTCCTTGAAATATATGTTGCGCCCTGAAACGGACAGTATATATTTTTTGTAATCTTTATAATTGTTTGTAAAATTTATAATTTTTTAATTCGATGTTTCCATTTTTTTGTTGGTATCCTTTTCTATTTGTTTGTAATTTTGTATTTTTCCTTTGTGCTTTATATATAAATAAACAAAAATATATATATTTCATTTATTTTAATTAAGTATAAATAAATAAATAAAATAATATGAAATTACGTCCACCGGGTCTGACGTACTGACATGTCCTAGTGAAAGAGTATGTGCCTGTTGTACGTTGCGTAATTAAAAAGGGAACTCCCCGGTTAACAGGTGAAGGTATCACATATGTGTCCTCAACCCCCCATTCTAATCCCCCACCCCCACCACTCATGCCCCCACCCCCCTATTGTCCTTGACCACTGGTTAGGCTCAGATGTGTGCACCTAAGTCCTTTGGTTGCTCTCTCCCTTTTATCTCCACCCTCCCTCTGAGGTCCAGCAGTCTGACCCATGGCTCCTTATCTCTGGGTCTGTTCTTGTTTATCAGTCTATGTTGTTCACCATTTCCCCTAGATGAGTGAGATCATGTCCTACTGGAAATATATTTATAAGAATCGAAAATGAGATAAGCAATAATTGTTATGCTGAAGGGCATATGAATTAGTCTGTAGTGAGTTTCTTTCTGGGCCACCAGTTTTTTTGAGACCCAATTTCAATGTCAAACAGTTCCTTATGTGTACATATCAGCAATGATATTTCAGTTCTGGATGGTGGACAAATGGTGGTAATGCAGGTTCCATCCTCTCTGGTTTGGTCCTGGGCAACCTGCAGTGATACACAGCTACTGACTGCCATTATGGCAAGGTGTCATCAGCGTCTTCCATCTCTGGACTGCTTCTCTTCTGTCTTCATGGTTGGAGTAGTCCTGTCAATTCCTCTCTATTGCCAGCATCCACATGGTCTCGGAGTTGTTTTCTGAAAATATACATATTCTTGACCAAAAGTTAATAAAGGAATATTTTCTATAAATTTGACTTGGGATCCTTTTTCATTTTTTGCCCAAATGATTTTCCTCTGGCTTGTTTTGACACCATGTGTGTGTTTTGTGGGTGTCTTGCTGATAGCATAACAATTAATTTTCTAAAGTGCAAATTTTCTAGATGTAATTTACTTTCAGGATATTTTTCCTTACATGATATTCTTCTACTTTCCACCTTTTTTGATTTAAATATTAGGAGGCTTTTGAAAATTTTATAATGTAGTCTTGATAGTTTTTAAATTTTAATTTTTTGCACTATAATATGACTGCTTTAGGTTCATTTCCTGTTGTGAGATTTTATCCTGAGATGAACTACCAATAAAATTTTTAGTTAACACTTTAGGAACAGTTTTTTGTCCAGTGCAATTAGTTTTTCTAGAATATTTGCTTATTTCAATTAGCCAATTTAAATTAGCCTGAAAACTTGTCTACTGTTTTACTGTCAAATTTATTTCTCTAAAACAATCTTATTTTACTGTGTAAATATTAGGGGAAAGGCTTATTTGCCTTCTTGAGTAGGCCCTGAGCATTCCTGGGGGTAGGCTGGATTTAGATATCAAAAACCCACTTCCCCACACCATGGGTACAAGACAACTCAAACAAGTCTTGTAGTGCGAGGGCAGCTGCTGTCAGCCAAGTCTCTGTCTTTTACCCGGTCCCGATTTGAGCTGGGCATGGGAAGTTAAGCAGCATGGGGGCAGGAGACTCCCTCAGCAGGGGTGAGGTTTCAGGCCCCTGCAAAGTTTTGGGGGCGAATCTTCATGAGATCTGGAAGCTCCATGTGCATTGTGATGCCCCAGCTGGCCGGGAACCAGTGGGCTGAAGGCCTTTCCTCTGACTCTGGGCTCCCAACTATCCCAACGAAGTGCCGGTCTGTCCTCAGGAGGGTCTGAGTCAGCTCTATGGCAGCTCCCTTGACAGGTCTGCCCATGGCCCCCTGGGCCTCTTAGGTGGAAGGGTTTTTGCATCCCTTCTTACACGTAATCGCATTTTTACTTGTTTGGGGCAAATACTAAAGACAGTAACGATAATGACATTCCTGAGTGGGCAGTTACAAAGAAATACCAGTATAGTGGTAGCTTGAGGTCTAATTTACCTTGTAAAATGCTGGATGGTGCTTTCCCAAATATTTGTTTGTGGGGTGTGTGTTTTTCCTCAAAATTTACTCATTTAAATTTTCAAATATTTTTTTTACTCCACAGAAAGAATAAAAATGACATAAGCAAACTCATCTTCAAAAGTGGAGATTTCCAAATGTCCCCCTACGCCGAGTACCCCAAGAACCCTCGGTCACAAGAATGGGGCCGAGAAGCTATTGAGATGCATGAGAACGGAAGCACCAAAAACCTCCTCCAGATGACGGACGTGTATTACTCGGTGTGTATCCCGTGTCCAGGGGGACCTCAGGCTCCCGCCTCGTCCGAGAATTAAAGGGGTTCTGTTTGGCAGTAGTGACAGCAGTACAGCTAGTTACAGGTGAAAGGGAATGATTGCCTAAGCCCTTTGTGGACAGAATTTAATATTCAGTTCGATTATGATCGATTTGCATGTTAGTGACTGGAACTGACGGTGAGATATGAAGGCTGCTTCCACAGAGCACAGTGCCTTTATGGGACGGTAGCAGTAGCCACCTAGTTATGGACCTTGCTTTTAAGGTATAGGCATGGATGCTGAGAGATAGAGAGAGAATTTAATGACACTTGACCTTTGGCCCTTTCCTTTTTATCTCTTGCCTGCCCCACTTATCTTCCTGTCTTTGGGTAATCGAAACCGAGGGGTTGGAGAAAGGTAAATAGAGGACACCATAACCTCATCCACCACCAGCACTTCCCAGAGGTTTCGAAGCTATATTTAGTAGGTGTTTAATAATCTGCTGTGCCCCGCCCTGGACTGTGTACCTTGGACAGATGACGGGACACTCCCTGCAACCCTTGCTTCTTCTGCCCCGTGGCGAGGAGTCCATGCCATATTTCCAGGCACTGCTCAGTTCATTTCGCACTATACCGCGTCAGCCATAAAGCAAACACATAAAGCCGACAAGTAAATAGATGTCAGGTGACTTCTCACGCCCATTCGGAGCGGTAGCAATAAACACGTGCCCTGGCTCCGCAGGAACCTAACGGCACCGGGCAGGCCTGTGACAGAAACACAACCCCCCTGGTTGCTATGGGGACTGACCAGGGGGCTCAGGCTCTGGATGGGAAGGGCAGGTTTGTTTATGGTACGAAAGAGATTGCTTCCGTGGCTCTTAAAAAATCCACTCCTGGAGGAAGAACAAGGAGACCCCGGAGGAAAGATAAAGGCAGGCACAGACGTCCCCCTGGTCCAAACGGTTTTGTTGCTCTTTCTGCATAAAGGGTTGGTTTTGTTTTCTGTTCGTCAGGAAAGTTCTTTTGCGCTAATAACTGAAGCCATAGCTAAGCAAGTGTCTTCCCAGGAGTGACCGGTGACCACACACTCACACCCAAGACCACCTTTGCTAGGGTCTCCTCAGCCTCAGCGTGATGTGACAGCCTGGCAACAAACAGGCCTGCGGAGTCATAGGACCCAAGCTGTGCTTCCATGGCGTTAGCTAAAGAATTGCCTTCCATAGAGACAGTCGAGAACTTAAATGAACACTATCAGCATTTCAAAGAGACTGAGCACTCTGACAGCAGAGCCCGGCCACGGCAGGAAGCTGTCACCCGTGTGAGCACTGCCACGCACCGCCATCCCAGGACTTGCTGTGTGCCGTAGCGATGTCTCATTTCTGCCAGGCGAGCCTTCTCCCCAGGGGTCCCACATGAGGGCCTCCTCAGAGCAGACCTGTCATTCCCAGGAGCACTTTTTGCACGTCAGACAGGTAGTCACAACCTGCTAAGCTGGGACCTGGTCGGAGACACCTAAGAATCGCTGTTGGCCTCCTGCCTGGGGGCCTAACACCATCTCCGACGGGAGGGTCAGGCGACCCTTCACCCAGTGAGTTCAGCTAAACCCCAAAGAGGATTAAAGCTGTTGTGCTCCACAGAGAAAGACACTCTTTTAAAAGGTCAAGTTAATAATCACATAATAACTCATCTGGATCATAGTAAAGATAACCGTTAACCCAGGTCTTTTTCTATGTTGGTCTAAAATCACTAGACTGTCCTTGATCCAGGTTTTTTTTCCATAAAGAGCCGACCTGGAGGAGGGACCTGACTTCCGGGATAGATTTTGCTCTGCTGAGTACTAGCTGCCTCCATCTGAGGTTTATTATAATGCGGCATACATACATATATATATATGTGTGTGTGTGAGTGTGTATTAAATTTAACCCATGAATGATGGACCTTTTTTTCCCTTTTCTCTCTGGCCTCCAGCCCACCAGCGTAAGGAATCCTGAACTTGAACGGAACGGACTCTACCCGGCCTACACTGGATTGCCGGGATCTCGGCATTCTTGCATTTTCCCGGGACAGTACAACCCGTCTTTCATCAGTGATGAGAGCAGGAGAAGAGACTACTTTTAAGGGAGAAGAGAGGAGCCCATTGCTCTGAGCTTGTGGCTGGAACTGCTGCTGCTCAGAGGGACTGCACGGGGCCCGCCTGAGCTGCTCCCGGGGCCGTGGGGCCGCGCTGGAGGGGCAGGCAGGGCGTGGGACAGTGTGAGGGCGTGGCCACAGTGAAGGGCACCGAGGAGCCGCAGGCCGCTCGCTTGTTGTTACTGTGAATGTGCACACGGCCAGTACCAGGAGGTCTCGGCGCGGCCGCGGCTCCACTGGCTGCAGGAAGGACGCCGGCTGGGGCAGCCCATTGGGCACCACTGCAAGCACCAGGGTCTCCTTAGTTTGCACTTTAGTCAGTTGAGTAGGCAGGTCTCCTTTGGGCTCCCCCCCCCCCCCCCAAGACTCCCAGAAAGAAGGCCTCGTTCCCCCAGATGCTTCCAAGGGCCTCAATTGGGTGACTAATTTATAGCAGAAATACTGGCTGGTTAGTTGTTTCCCTGCCCAGCACCGTGTGCGAAACAACGGGTGATGGTGATGATCATACCACTAAGGTCTGGAGATGCTGTAGGTTCGTGTACAGTATTTTCATGTTTCCAGGTGTTCCCGTGCTACAGTCTCCAAGCCAACCCCCAGAATGAGAAATAGAAAGGTGTGCGACTCCAGTTTGTTTTTTTTTAGTCAAGGTGACACCTGGAGTTAAGGTTGCTTCTTCCCTTTGCAGCCAAAGCCCACTTTTTTCAAATAAGCGGGACCAGGGCAAAATGACTTCCATTTGGTTGTAGTTGGAGGCACCCAGCTGACCTGCAGGGAGGCCCAGCAAGCCACACCCGTGCCCTGGGCGGATCGAGGCCCAAGGAAGCGCTGGAGACAGGCGGCAGGATGCTTCTCGTCCCTGCGGACACAGCGTGCTGCCCGGGTGTCTGACCTTCATCTCCGAGGCCGAGGCCGCTCCGGTGGAGTGGAAACGCTAAGCGGAACGCAGGTCGGGTGTGAGCTGCCGTTTCACCACCGAAGGAAAAGCAGCGCGCATAGTCTCCACAGCGGACCGTGGTTAGAGGGATGAGCTGAACTGGCAAGTTCATTGCCGGAAACGCCGGTGCCGTGGGGAGCCGGGCAGATTCCCACGGAAGGATAGCGAGCTGGGCTGGAGCCATGTGGCAGTCTGCCCACTTCCGATGCTGCACCTCTCCCTGCTTCCCTGATCTCACCCTCAAACTCGGCATGAACTCTCAGCCCACTGCTCAGAACTATTTATTCACCGGGGAAGTAACTTATTTTCTCTCATCCAGTGATTTGCACCTCTTTGTACCACTATACAGCTTCCTCCGGAAACATGGTCCCCATGCAGGTCAGCATGGGAGAACCAGAGACTTTGGGACCGGCGGGAAGGGAGCGCCAAGTGTCTTACTTATCGTGCCTGTGGCGGGGGGCCTGCGAGGGGCGTGTGCAGCGCCGTTTGCAGCTGCTGCTTGTGGGGCTGTGGTGGTTCCGCTTTGACAGGTCCTAGTTCCGGATGAAGTGGAGAAGACAGTGGTAAAGAACTGGCCCCGCCCTGGGGCTCCGAGCTCCGTGGAACCCACAGTGGGGACACCTCTGTCCTGGGGGCCGTTGCTTTAAGGTCCTCTACCCTCTTCGGCATGTTTCTAACCCGCACCCTTCTGTAGTCCTCAGCCTAACTGGTTTAAGTGGGAACTCCTGTGCCCCGTGGTCTCCACGAGTCCTCGCCCCCGTCCACAGCAGGAGCCGGGAGTGCCAGCCAGGTGTGGGGCCTCGGGGTCGTTGAAGTGCACTCATCTCAGGAGCGCGATACAAAGAGGACGCTGTTGTAGCCAGCGGATGCCAACTAAAGGTTGGCTTTTTTAATTCTGTCCGTGGAACCAGATAGCGCTGGGCCTCCTGGCCTCCCATCTAACTGGAGAGCTCTGAGCTCCTGCCCCCTGCTCGCCTGAGCCAACAGACTGAGTGGCCCGGTGCCCGGCGCTCAGGCAGATCTTGCTCCCCCCAGGACCCAGAGCCACGCGGGGCTGGTTCTCCGGGGGCAGGTCTCGGCGTGCACTGTGGGCTGCCACTGTTAGCTGCCACCTCAGCCGACAGGTCACCTCCTGTACCTGGGCCGGAGCTGTGAGCTCCACAAAACGAAGTGTTCCGCCCCAAACGCATTCTTGAGAAGAATCCGGAAAAGAATGTCCTGGGCGCTCCAGGAACACGGTCCTGTGGATGGGTTTTGTGCGTAATGAAGTGAGTGGATTAAGAATGTTGTTTTTCTTTTACTGTGAAAAAGGCAGCCCCCCCCTCCTGCCCCCCACCGCGAGATGGCGTTCACCCAGGCGCTGCGATTGCTAGGAAGTGTGTGGGGGTGGGGAATGCCTCTCCAGGGCCTGAGGCGCTAAGAGGCATGAAGACAGCATGACCATTAGCCGGTGCTGATAGTGTGAGGCTGGCTTCCCTCCTGTGTGTGGCTGGTCCTTCCAGAAGGGTCCTGTCTGCCAAGAGCAACACCTGCTAGGCAGCAGCCGCCTCAACTCAAGGGACAGGACTGGACACAGCCATGGCCCAGATGCTCAGTGTCGGCCACACGCCTGGAATTCATCAACATGCCCCAGGCCTGTATTCCTGGGTGGGGCTCCCAGCTGGGGGCGTGGGAGGAAGGGGAAAGGGACACTTAACTGCCCACGAGACTCTTAAACCTCCACAGAGGGAAGAGAGGGGCCCGAATGGAACCCACCTGCGCCGTAGCACACCTGAGCAGGTAGTACCTATGGCAAGGTGACCAGACGTCCCGCTTTTGGTGGGACAGTCCCGATTTTGAACAATTTGTCCTGCATCATTTTTAAAGAGTCCGGATTTTGCCAAAAGCGGGACGTCTGGTCACCTTAACCTATAGGTTTTGTGTAAGCTCTTCAACAAAGGGTCTTCTTGTGTCTTTTCCTCTTTGCCCCACGAGCCAGCCCTGGGCTCTGGAGACAGTAGAGAAAGTCTAAAGGGTCACACAGCATCTCTGGTGTCCCTGCCGAGGCAGGCTCCCTTGCGAGGTGGGCTGGAGAGCGCCCGTTTCTCGGGTCTGGGGAACTTCAGAGAGGACAGCTGCCTTGGAGCGCCGGGCTTCAGACCCTTTGCCTGGCTTGCTCTTCTCGCTGTACCTCCCTGCCTCACCACCCAGTGTACTTTAAATGCAAAAGGGCACGAGAGAGTGAGTTTAAAGTGTGTTGTCTTTTTTTTAAAAAGAACCTTAACGTTATTAAGCAATAACTAAACTAATGACATGAAGTGCAAAAAAACAATGTTGACTCCCCTTTTGAAAAAGTCCTTTCCGGTTTGTTATTACATGGATTTCTTGGACACTTGTAGTCATCGTTAAGAAAATAGAGCTGGTTCATGCTTAGCACGAAGCATGTAGGTACGTGGCTTTGGGTGTAGGAGGCGTGAGGTGATGAGCTGGGTTTCGGACACACACAGCCGGACTTAGCCGGCCATCTGAGGGCCGCTCTGTCTTGTTCCCTCGCTCAGGATGTGGCTCCCAAGTATCGGAGGCACATGTTTGTGAATAGTATCAGAGTCGGGAACATATTCAGTAGAATGTCTTAAATGCTGGCAAATCTTCCGGCTTGGGCAAGTTTATTTTCAGAAGCAGCAAAGTCCTTTAGAGCAAAATTGCTGAGTGGGTAGCTTCATCAGAGCTGGCTGATAGCGTTGGGGTCAGAAGTGAAGATGTGATTGTTAAGTTCTGGAGGAGGTGATTGTGAACGTTGGCCCGGAGGGAGGGAGGGCAGCATCTTTTCATTACAAGGCTGGAAGGCCACCAAGAAAACGTCTTTGAAGGGTATTTATTCAGGTGTGAACGTGCCCAGGGCAGACACGGGAGGGTGTTGCACGTGCCTTTTGGGGCCTGCATTAAGCCATCTTGCCCACCGGTAGGGGGCCCAGGTCCCCTGAGGCTCTATGAACTTTGCTTCTGGCTTCCTTTAGCCTAACACGCCCACAACTCGGGTTTGACCCATAGTTCTGAGATTCTTACACTGATGTTAAAACTAAAGCAAGTCTTTGGAAAGAGGAAGAATTGTAGTCTTTTGCATCTTATTGAACACTACCCTGCTGTCAGAGAGTTTTGTTTGTTGTTGTTGTTTTTGTATGTGAAAACTTCTGTGGGGGTTAGAAGGGACATTTTATTTCACTCTGGGGTTCCTGTGTTTGTGTTTGAAAATAGATTCTCGGTTTTGTAGAGTTGGCTTTTACAGTGTGTGTCTTCTTTTCTCCAATGCCCAGAGAAGGAAACTGGTTAAAATACTTGGAGCATAAAAGTGTTAAATGGCAGTTAACTCGTTGTGCTAAATATCTCCCCAGTAGTGTTAAAAATCCATCTTCTTTGGTGTAAACTGCTCGCAGACAAACCTGTGAAGCCAAAGGGACAGTTTGGGTCTGAAAAGAGACAGATCTTCCAGTGGCTCTGACTCCTGGGTATTTTTGAAGGGGACACATTAGTTCCGGTTTTATCGTTGTTTTTTGGGCACGTCTAATGCATTAGATGCAGAGTTAATGGGGAGGAAGGATGGGACGCACCAGGAAGGAATGGAAGCAGTCTACCTGAGAAACTAACCCAACTCGCTTATCTTCCTGTATTACCCTGGTCACAAAAAAAAGGTTTTTCAACGTGGGTTGTTGTGAGGTTTTTCAATGTTTGTGTTGCTGGATTTATGGTGAAATGAAGCGTGTATCTGAACTGTTTGAGTCACATCCTGGATCTCTTTGCAAACCTTAGTCCCGGATGGACTGTGTTAAATCCATTCTGAGGCTGTTATTTAAAGTTGTATTATAACTCCAACCTCCACTAATTATTCTGTACTGTAGCAGCAAAGTATTATTTGTAAGAATTCGGTTATTTTTATACTTATACCCACTATAAGTCTGGCGTTCTAGTCAGTACAATGATGCAATAAAGTAAGTATCGTTTTCATTGTGTGTGTTTTCTCGTAAAAGCAAGCAAACCAGGCCGAGTGCAGCAAACAGGTTTTCCCGAGGGCATCACATAAACCAGTGTTTCCCAAGCTTCTCTCATGATGAGAACCACCTGGTGGAGTTGTTAAACTACAGATTCCTGAATCCCAACTAAGAAGTGCGAAACTAGAATTTTTGGGAACACGTAGGTAAAATTGTATATTTAGTGCTCTAAGACAGAGTTTGGGAAACACTGACATAAACCATGGCGCTCTCAATGGTGAGCTCCTACACGGGGACCCTCCGCATTGAGCTCGCACAGGATAGGTGCAGGGACTCAGGATTTCTCTCCCTCGGGGCCCACCCCATGAGGAGACACACTTCTGATGATGGATGGACAGACAGTTTGGCCTAATGCTAAAACGCCTGGTTCGGGTATAACACCTGCTTTTGTTCACTTTTCTTTCTATGGGTTGAAAGTGTAAGTAACTAACTCAGACGCTGAGCCCTTCCACCTGAGCTTCTCCCACTGCCACTCCAGGCCAATTCTGTATGTGCTGGAGGAGAAGGGGAAGTAAGTACATCGGTGCTCTGCGGTGGAGACGCTGGGGAACTTTAAGATGAGGGGCTGTGGCCCCGACACCATGGTGGCCTAAGAATGCGGCGGCCTGGCTAGATGTATGCCGATCATTTGCTTCCTTGGGTGCCTTTTGTGTCAGGGGACGGATGAGCCCCTCTGATTCCACCAGCTCCGTGACAGAAACCGGGCCCTCGGAGAGGCCGTTAGGGCCACCTGGGCATAGCGGCGCCCTTGGGGCAGATTTGATGCGCTCTGCGGCCCATCAGACATCCTCGAATGGGGATTACCTGCACTCTCCTCTCCCTACCAGCCCCTCCCACTGAGCTTTCCTGCCCACATGGTAATCCCCAAAGGAGATCTTAACAGGAACCCTGTACTGACTCCTTTATTGTCCTGCCCAGCTCCGCCAGACAATATAAACATCACAGATGCCAGGGATAAGATGTTCATGTTGCTTTTTATGGACCTCATAAAAATTGCACAATCAGAAGGCCTGGCCTCTGACAGCTGGTACAAGACCCTTTCCTAACAATTTCTAACTGCCTGGCTGTTTTCCCAGGTTGTGACATCAGGCCTAAGAGTCCGCTCAGCTCTCTGAGCCTCAGTGTCCTAGTCAGTGAGGTGGGGATAATACTGCCTCCCAAAGTTGTGAGGATTAGAGGGGAGAATTCATCTGAAAACACTAAACTAAGAACCATCACACATACTGGTTCTCTTCCCTGGGGTCCTCCTGTCACACAAGAAAGATAGGCAAAAGGAGGATGAAGATGTCATGTCAATGCTGATTCACCAGTAACTGGTCCTGAAGACCTAGGATGTGATTCAACTTAGAAATCATTGGCATTTGGTGGTGGAAGGCAGAATGGCCAGCAGTGGGTACTGACCTGGGCATGATAAAAATGATATGTCAAAAGTGACCCTTAGCCCGGCCAGTGTGGCTCAGTGGTTGAATGTTGACCTATGGGCACATGCCCGATTTGTGGGCTCTGTATCCAATAGGGGGTATGCAGAGGTAGTCCATCAGTGATTCTCTCTCATCATTGATGTTTCTCTCCCTTTCCCTTCCTCTCTGAAATTGATAGAAATATACTTTTTAAAAAGTAACCCTTAGACTGAGAGGAAGTAGGATATTCAGGATTTTGAAGAGTATGACTCTAGAGCAAGCATGTCAAACTCAAAGGCTAACATGGGCCAAATAAACAAGGTTTAAGTTAATGTGGACCACACACACAAAAAAACAGAAGCTTCAATTTTCATAGAAATGGGGGTTTATTTCTATAGAGATGCTGAATACAAAGGGCTGAAATAAATGAGTAATCATTAACATATAATAATAGAACATTTAAATAAAAATTAATATTTTTTTCTTGAACATTAACTTGCCAGACACTGAATAACTGCACAAATTAATAATCGTAACACATTAACCTATTTTTTTCTTCTTCTCCAAAATGAAATATTTCCTGTTGCCCACACCAAACAAGTCAGTCCAATACTAATGACATGGCAATCAGATGCTAAGATATTCACTGCTAGTATCAGTGGAGAGAAATGGTGCGCCTGCGCATAAGGAGCATAAGGGAAATGAATGCAACACAATTATAGTAATCAGTCCTTAGCAAACGTTGTAGGTCATTACTACTAATTATGTATAACAGGATACTGTAAAGTTATGAAATTTTTATTAAAATCTTTCCCACATACAATTATGATATATTGGCTGGGCCCCCAAAATATTCGTTGTGGGCCACCAGTTTGACATGCTTGCTCAGGAAGATACAGGGAAACCTGTGCAAATGAAGTGATGTGTCCCAGCACCATCCTTCTCTGATGTAAGCATCGGTACTAAAGGTAGAACTAACACAAGTGGATATGAGATGTGTTTCAGGACATTAGAGAGGAGACCTTTTGCTTTAAATAATCCTACATAATAAAAGCCTAGATGGTGTCGCATGATGTCGTCACAAGATGGCCATCACAAGATGGCTGGCAGGGGAAGGCAGTTGGAAGCAAGATCAGGCCAACTGGAGAGGGCAGTTAGGGGCGACCAGGCCTACAGGGGAGGGCATTTGGGGGCAATTGGGCTGGCAGGAGAGCAGTTAGGCATCAATCAGGCCAGCAGGGGAGCAATTAGGGGGCAATCAGGCAGACAGACAGAAGCAGTTAGGGGCAATCAGGCAGGTAGACAGGCAAGCAGTTAGTAGCCAGCAGTCCTGGATTGTAAGAGGGATGTCCGATTGTTGGTTTAGGTCCAATCCCACAGGAACCAGGCCTAAACTGGCAGTCAGACATCCCCCAAGGGGTCCCAGATTGGAGAGGGTGCAGGCCAGGCTAGGGACACTTCCCCACCCCACCCTTTGCACTATTTTCATGCACAGGGCCTCTAGAATTAAATACGATTAAAACAACATTATAAAATATGGAATCCTGGGAAGAGATCTTCGCCATCATTTATTCCAACCATCCTTAAAAAGCACTTAAATTCCCTCTCATCTGAGTAGCTGTCCCAGCA